ACAAGTTCACGTGGAAGAACTACATCCAATACATAAACACAGATCAACACAAGTACACGTGGAAGAACTACATCCAACACATAAACACAGATCGACACAAGTTCACGTGGAAGAACTACATCCAATACATAAACACAGATCAACACAAGTACACGTGGAAGAACTACATCCAACACATACACAGATCAACACAAGTACACGTGGAAGAACTACATCCAATACATAAAGATCAACACAATTACACGTGGAAGAACTACATCCAATACATAAACACAGATCAACACAAGTTCACGTGGAAGAACTACATCCAACACATACACAGATCAACACAAGTACACGTTGAAGAACTACATCCAATACATAAACACAGATCAACACAAGTTCACGTGGAAGAACTACATCCAACGCATACACAGATCAACACAAGTACACGTGGAAGAACTTCATCCAACACATACACAGATCAACACAAGTACACGTGGAAGAACTACATCCAATACATAAACCAAGATCAACACAATTACACGTGGAAGAACTACATCCAAGACATAAAACACAGATCAACACAAGTACACGTGGAAGAACTACATCCAATACATAAACACAGATCAACACGCACACGCGTAAAAAAAATTGCATATAACACATTGAGATCAACACGTCAAACACCCTTAAGAGCAATGTCGAAAAACAATTTCCAACACACAGATCAAAAGCCACACACTAGAAAAGTTATCTTTAACACACAATTCAACACGCATACATGTGAAAAAACAAAAAAAAACTGCCTCCTACACACACACAATTCAACACGTTCACACGTCAAAGAATTACGTACAACAAACACATCAACTGAAAATCATCCTTATTAAAAACCACGAGCTAAGAAGTTTCTGACTCACTAATCATTGCTTTACTACTACACAGCATGCACGTCATGAGAACGAGGCCAGACCAAGTATGGTTCATTCAAGCAACAGTGTAACCGCCGAGACGTGGGCAGTTAGGCAGAAAAGAGTTACTGATGCACGTGTCTGGCTGTTCAAGTAATTTTACCAGCAAGAAAGCAAAACGACCTCCATCTCTTCTGAAATCTAAAATTATAACCAAGTTCAAGCTAACCTACCTTGCTTCTCAGATCCCTTTAGTTTAGTTTGGAGAGTATTGAATTATGACGTATCACCAGTCAGAATGGTCACTTGACCTTATTCCACGAAAGTCATTAACTATTTTCAATAAACACCATTACTGACTTATGTCTCGAAGAAGACGGATACAAGTGTAAGCGATGTTAACCAAAAGCGTTGAAAGTTGATATTGATGACGTCATTCTTAACCTTGGGACCATTGCTAAATATTAACTTTGTTCATAAACAGTTCATCATCATGTACGTTCAAATATCAAAACATTATATATTCATCAAAAATGAATGCACAGTTTTAATTTCTTTGAAGATGAGAAAAAGTTGCACGACGACGCTTTTGAATGATTTTTAGGAGATCTGTACCAAAGTTTTAAGCTTAAAATTCGTGTGAAGAGGGTCTTAATCCAGTCACACACACACACAAGTTCTGTACAAAATATTTAGCATAAAAGATGAAAAGTGGCCGTGAAAATCGTGGGTACAACAGTTTCTTGTTTTATACAAAGCAGTATGAGTAAGTTTTACCGCGTGAAAACCCCAACTAATGAACCATCAGCTACATTTGGATAAGAATATTAATTACATCCTGTCAACAAGGTACTGAACCTCCAGCTATACATATGGTTCAGAATATTTATTACATCCTGTCAACAAGCTACTGAACCTCCAGCTATACATATGGTTAAGAATATTAATTACATCCTGTCAATAAACTACTGAACGTCCAGTTATACATATGGTTAAGAATATTAATTACATCCTGTCAACAAGGTACTGAACCTCCAGCTATACATATGGTTCAGAATATTTATTACATCCTGTCAACAAGCTACTGAACCTCCAGCTATACATATAGATAAGAATATTTATT